GTAGAACTATGCTTGTAGGGTTTTCAGTAGCTGATTTTTCAGAAGCAGATTGCCAGGACTTTCTTCTGAGGTGACTCTGGGTGGACTCAAACCTTCAACCTGTCAGTTAGCACCCACATTTGTTAGCTGTTTGCACACTCAGGGACTCCTCTTTCAACTCTAAGAAGGAAATGAGAGCTTTTACCACCCCTTCTCAGAATAGCCCTGTGATGAACCTCTTTCTGGCCAGAGTACTACAATAGCTTTAATTAAGCTATGTGGGTCTTGAGAAAAAGAGCATGAGTGTTAGGGCTTGCAGCTGAGGAGACTGAAGTAGGGGGAGGAGGTGCGTTTCCAGAACTTGCTTGCACACAGAGGCTGAGTCAAGGTTTGCTGAGGCTTTTGTGGATTACCTGGGCACTCTGCCCTGGGCAATGGCCTCTGCAGTCAAGACTGGTCATTGTGAGAGGCATAATTGTGTCCAACCAGAGGCAGACCAGAGGCCCTGACTCAGAGCAAGGAAGGGATCAGTGCTCAACAGCCATAGTGGACAGGAGAAGGAGCAATGTCACAGTAAAGCCATTGTGAGCTAATGGTTACTACAAGACCTAGGGAGGAAGGGTCTCCAAAATACTTCGCTGACATATAACGGATATAACATGGTTTAGAGAAATAAAGAAGGTGACAGTCCTTGCACATACATCTTTGGAACCAAATCTATATCCATCATAGAGTGTTGGTTAAAAAAGGAAGCATGGAGATCACTGTTGTTTAAACTCAATGGGCTAGGAGGAGCTAAAAATAAGAATTCCACGAAATCTCAAGATGGTTTTACAACAAAGCCAGAATTTTAATTTATCTAAGACTTTAATTTATCTGAAGAACCTACAAGGATGAATCTAAGAAAAAGAAAAACTAAACCAGTGGACTTGGACTCATAGCGACACATGTGTGTCAGAGTAGAACTGTGCTCCACAGGGTTTTCAAAGGCTAATTTTTCAGAAGTGGATCACCAGGCCCTCCTTCTGAGATGTCTTTGGGGGATGTTAACTGCCATCTTTTCAGTTAGTAGATGAGTGCTTAACATTTTGTGCTACCCACAGACTCCCTAGTAGAGGTCAAGTGCTTTGAAAATCAATGTTAAAAAAGTAAAGCATAGTGATCTAATTTGCCTTTCTGTTTATTACAAATAAGCCCGTCTAAACTGGGGGAGCACTGTGGGGAAATGTGATTGTAAGTTACAGGCTGATGCTCTCTTATTACAACCCTTAAAAACAAACCCAAACACCGTAAAAAGCAGACCAGTAGGGTTTTTAAGCCCCAAATGCAAGCATTCCAAACACCAGATGGCTTTTGTGTACTTCTTAAATTTTAATCTATTTTCACATACATTCAACTCCAAAGCTAGTCATGCTGCTAGGTCCTTTTTAATTTGCTGACAAATCATGGGTTTTTTTCTTATTTAATTTAAGTCAGTCAAACAGCATGGGTCACTTGTCAAACAGGAAAAGTCAGGATCTGTCAATAGGTAGAATAAATACTTTTAGAGACTTGAAAAAATAATTTGATAATGCAATTTTAATCATATATTTATCTAAAATGAAAACATCTCTTCCTTATAGTCATGTCTTCATTATAGTCCCTACAAAAAAAATGAAAATGATTTTATTTTTCATTCCTATCAGGATTCATAGAATCATAATTTATTTTGGGGAAAAAAAAGCCCATTGACCTCAAGTCAGATCCGACTCATAGCAACCCCTCTTTGGGTTTCCAAGGCAGTACCACTATGGAAGTAAATTGCTCAACCTTCCTTCAGAGGAGTAGCTGGTGGGTTTGAACCGTCAGCCTTCTGGTTAGCAGTCAAATGTCTTAGGCTCTACACCACCAGAGCTCCCTTATTTTGGAAGGGCTCACAATTTAAAAAAAAATAATAACCAATAACAAAGAAAGCTTCCAAGATGGACAACTCATTGTTTTATTGAAACAATTCAGCCCAGTGGCTCACAATTAAAAATAAAATAACAAAGAAAGCTCCCAAGATGGGCAACTCATTGTTTTATTGAAACAATTCAGCCCAGTGGCTGAGAGATACTGAAGCAAACCCTGCTCTTGTTGTAGGAAACAGGATCTGATTAAAAGACACTGGTTTCCTTTTGGGCTTATGGTAGAAAGGGATTGGGGGTTTAATACATATATTTTGTTTGTTTGTTTGTTTGTTTTATCATTGTCTCTATATCTTAAAAGAAGCTAATTAAATTTCAAAGTATTAAATTAAGCAATAAGACTGCAAGAGTGCATTAGGCAATGCATGCAAAGTTCAAATTATAACTCAGATTTTTACATTACAAAATAATACAATTGTCACTCTATTTAATTTAAAAAGTATTATTTCTGAATTACACAGGCTGCCATGAGATTCTATCTATCTTCCAGGTCAAAACTGATGATTTTGCCTTTCTTCAAAAAAAAAAAAAAAAAAAATCATAGCGTCTTAAATTATCAATGTATTGAAATAGCAATCTTCAAATATGAGGGAATTTATTGCCCTAGCCCCTCCCAAAATGTAATTCCTTAAGGTAAAGATAAATGGATGCCCACTCACTCCCTGTCTTCCATGGTGTATTTGTCCATCTTGGACTCCTTCCTAGTCACATTACACCTGGCTGCCCACCCATTTCCTGGAATCAATAAATATACAAAAAGTAAACATCTAGGTTTGTAAAAGTCTTTGCTATGACTGGCCCTTTTGAAATCCCTCAGCCAGGGTCTGCCCTTGCTTGGCTTACCAGGCATATTTTCACAATTCCTTGAATAAAAGGACCACCTGATTTCCCTATTATCTCAGCTTGGTGCTTCTGAAGCCAAAGTGCACCTATGACGTTAATGAGTCAAAGATGGCCTCTGTGTATCACCTCCAAGTTGTTTATTTCTCTATAGCAAGCTGAGGTCCACTAGTCCAAAAGAAAAAAGGCCACTGGTACCAAATTCAAACTCATACATATACAATTGTTTTAAAAATAGTCCAAATAAACAGATTTTTTTTTGTCAGCACCTGCTTGCTTTATGTACCTCTTAAAACTGTACCCAACATCTGCTAGCCCTAGATAAGATAGAAACTGGTCATTATAAGGACATCAGCTGAATGTGCCCTCCAGAGTTCTCTTACCCAGAGACTCCCCACTTGCTGCAGGAGGACATCTCCCAGATGCACATAACAGCCCCTCACCCTTCTCCTCTTTCACAGTTTTTTCATGCCCTGTTCCCTGTCTGGTGGCTCCTGTGCAGCTGCTGCTTGTGTCTGGAAGAGCCTACTGCATGCAGTTGTCAAGGCATCCTCAGCCCCAACAAATAGCTTGTTGTACAACACTGCTATCTCATTTCATACCTTTTTCTTGGTCAACCCAAAATTCCCTTAAGGGAATCACTGTACTACCACCCCCACAACCCCTATCCTGTTGCTCCTTCACTGGAATCCCTTTAGAATTAGATCATATGCCTTAGATTAGCTTGGATCTGCTGTTCCTCGGACTAAATTTGAATTGAATATCAGTTTCCCACTTCATGGTCCCCATTTTATCCCCAACTACATGTTGGTTTCCTACAAATACACTCCTCCCCCTTAGCTCTGTCTCCCTAACAGACAGTGATCTTGGGTGGGTGGTCATTGGGAATATGTCATAACTCATGACCAAGAAATAAGTTCTGTTACATCCACTCATTTGTTTTATAAAGAACGTGAACTGATAATCAAAACAATAGCAAATTTTCAAAGCCTTCTCTGGTTTGTACTCTCCAAGTCTGGGTCTGGTTTCTATCCTCTGGCTTCCTTTGAGCACTGAATAAACCTCTATCACAGAAGTTAACACATTCAATGAAAATTACTTTTTTCCAGGTCTGCCTCACCGGCTAAGCCTCAACCTTTTACTCTCTTGTTGCTTAGTAAAGAATTTAACCTTACCCAAAGAGAGGTCTAAGGAGCTCTGGTGGTGCAGTGATTAAGGCATGTAGCTTCTAATCAAAAGGCCAGTGTTTCAAACTCACCAGCTGTTCCATGGGAGAAATATGAGGCAGTTTGCTTCCATAAAGATTTACAGGCTTAGAAACCCTACAGGGCAATTTCTACTCTGTTGGATAGGGTCATTATGAGTCAGAAATCAACTGGATGGCAGTAGGAAAGAGAGGTCTGGCCTTTGCCCTCACCTCCTGGGAGGTGATCTCTAGGAAGACCTTCTTTATTTGCCTGGGTGCTTTGGTGCCTTGGCCACCAGACAATCTAAAACTGTGAGTTATGAATGGGGCTCTGTATCCAGTCTATTTTCAGAGGGACTGGAATGGAGTCCCAATAAAAACTACAGACACCAAAGTTTAGGCATGCTTCATGGTTGACAACATTCTGTGTATGTTGTCACATATCATCATTGGGCAAGTAACACTGTCCTGATACCACCAAGAAAGGACACCTCTCCACATGTTTGGTACCTTCCTGGACCCTGCACCTCTTTCCATGGCTGATTTTAATCTATATCCTTTCTCTGTGAAGTCCCTGGATGAGGCAAACAGTGAATGTACTTGGCTGCTAACGAAAAGGTTGGAGGTTCCAGTCTACCCGGAGGTGCCTTGGGAGAAATGCCTGGTGACCTACTTCTGAAAAAACAGCTACTGAAGACCCTATGCAGCACAATTCTCCTCTGACACACATGGAATTGCCATAATTTGGAGTCGACATCGACTCAAAGATAACTGGTTACTGGTTCTCTGTTACAAATCATAACCATGAGTACAAAGATGTTCAATAAGTTCTATGAGTCCTTCTAGCAAATTATCAAACCTGATGGTAGTTTTGCAGCTGGTGTCAGAAGTGAGGACAGTCTTGTTTGGTCTGTTCCCTCTAACTTTGCACTGATTTACTGGTGTGTGCCAAGAATCTAGCATAGTTCCTGGCACTTGGTAGAAGTTCAGTAAATGTTTGCTGAACAGAAATAAAATATAATGAAATTATAGTAAAAAAAAGCACTCACATTCTTTTCTTCATTGTCTTCTTTTTGCACCTCATTTTCTCCACCTTCTTCAGCCTTTTCTGTTTCCTGGTCATAAAGGAAACCCAACAGTATCACTCATCTTAGATAAACTATAGAAAAACCAGACCACGCATGCTGTGATTCTCCTATTGAGGTACATAGTATATAAATAAAACAAACACAGAACTCATATTGTTAATTAACTACTAGAGCATAAGATCATTGAACCTATAAATTTCTGATTGGATTTATTAGTGTAAGTCAATAGATATGATTGATATGCACGGTAGATTAAGCAACTCCCTGAATGAGGAATTGCAATTCATCCACTTAGGGGTTATGAAAAGAACTCCAACAAGTTCAGTATTTATACAGAGTTTGTTTTCTGCTGATTATATGGAAAGAGGCTTTGAAGTTTTTAGAGACTAAAAAAATGGTAGATAAATTATTTCTATTCATGGATGATATGATATTATATATAGAAAATGACACACAGTCCACAAGAAAATTTCTAGGGCTAATAGAGGAATTTAGCAAAGTTGGGTATGAGGTCACCAAAAAATCAGTTGGATCTCTATACACCAGCAATGAGAAATTTGAAAGGGAAATTAGGGGAATATTTCCATTTACAATAGCATGAAAGTGAATAAAATACATAGGAATAAATCTAACCAGGGATGTAAAGGACTTATACAATGAAAAATATAAAACGCTGCCAAAAGAGATTAAAGAAGACTTAAATAAATGGAAAGATCTTCCATGTTCCTGATAGTAAGACTTAATATTGTTAAGATGTTAATAGTATCCAAAGCAATCTGTAGATTCAACGCAATCTCGATCAAATCCCAAAAGCTTTCCTTACAGAAACAGCAAAAACACTGCTTGGTCACAGCCAGCTACCCAGAGGGACTGAGTAGTTGAACCTGCAGGCTTGGGACCATAGTTGCAGGGGACATCAAGCTCAATTGGCATAACATA